CCTGCCCCCCCTTCCTCTCCTTTCTTCAGTTTTTTTCTTAACGAAAAGCTGTAATCAGTTTTACTGACACAGAATTCACATACCATAAAATCCACTATTACGATCCAGTGGTTTTGAGGGCATTTACAAAGTTGTGCAACCTCTTCCTAATTCCAGAACGTGTTCCTCACCCTAAGAGAAGCCCCATACCCCCGAGCAGTCACTTCCCGCTCCTCCCCCAGCCCCCACTGATCTGCCTTCTGACTCTTTGGATTTATCTACTCTGGATATTCCATATAACGGAACATATTGGTCAACAATTGGGCTACCATAACAGAATTCCATCGACTTTGCGGCTAAAACAACGGACGTTTATTATCTCACAGTCCTGGAGGCTGGAGCCTGGTGACCTGAGGGCCAACATGGTGGGGTTCTGGTGAGGACTCCCTGTCCGGCTTGCAGACAGTCGTCTTCTCGCTGTGTCCTCGTGTGGTGGGCAGAGAGGGAGAGAGACCAAGGGCAGGAGAGAACTCTTGGGTGCCTCTTCTGAGGACATGAATCCTATCAGATCAGGCTCCTACCCTTGTAGCCTCATTTGACCTTAATTACTTCCTTCAAGGCCCACTCCAAACACAGACACACTGAGGGTTAGGACTTAACATAAGAACTTCAGGGGGAAATAATGCCATCCACGTATGGACCTCACAGCGTCTGTCCCCTTGTGTCCGAGGCTGTCATGCTGTGGCATGGATCAGAAGCCCGCTCCTCTGTGTAGCCGGCCAATATTCCACTGCATGGACAGGACACCTTTTGTTTCTCCACTAACCAGTTCATGGACATCCAGACATCCGTTTCAGTTTTGGAGACACTGAGGCAGGTGGCGAGAGGCAAGGCCCGCTCAGCTCAGCACCCTCAGGACTAGCTACATAATTTGCAGGGGCCGAGGCAAAGTGCAAGGTGAACTCCTTGTCCCCAAATGATGAGAACTTTCAAGCTGGGAAAGGTAGCTCAGGCCCAGGAAGTGGGTCTCTCCTCCACCACAGGATGGGGATCAACCCTGGGATCTCCTGTGGGACGGGACACACACACACACACACACACACACACACACCCTCTGGTGCTATAAGCTGTGAAAATGCTTCAGGCACCCGATTAGGGGAAGGTCACCTCGGGTCAAGCTGGTCACATTTAGCATGTTGGGAACAACTTAGTCCAAGAAATCCGCTATGAAATTTTTTTGTTTAGATTTAAAAATATAGTTTATTCTGAAGTAAATTAGAAAAAGAGAGAGAGCAGAGATTCACCTCCCTAAGGTAGAGGAGGGGGGCCAAAGTTTAGCTCAAAGATCACATGGCTAGACCATAGTTTAGCAAGCTAATGGCCAACCGTTACAAATTTTTAAGCTTTGGGGCTGGGTGAGGTGTCTCATGCCTGTTGGAGGCCGAGATGGGAGGCTCGTTAGAGTACAGGTGTTCGAGACCAGCCTGGGCAACACAGCGAGGCCCATCTCTCCCAAAAAGGTTTTTTTTTGTTGTTGTTGTTATTGTTTTTGAGTTGGAGTCTCACTCTGTCGCCCAGACTGGAGTGCAGTGGCCGCTCCCGGCCACCGCAGCCTCGACCTGCTGGGCTCCGGCGATCCTTCCGCCTCAGCCTTCCAAGTAGCTGGAACTACAGGCGCGCGCTACCACGCCCGGCTAATTTTTTGATTTATTGTAGAGATGAGGTCTCGCTGCCCAGGCGGGTCTCGAACCCGCGGACTCGGGCAATCCACTCACCTCAGCCTCCCAAAGGCGCGGGATTACAGGCTGAGCCACCGAGCCCGGCTAAATTTTAATATCTAAAGTCATATCTCACAAAATAAATTCTCGCGTCAAGCATTTAATGTCAACACTTTTTAATAAAGCAAGAGCTACTCAGCCCGAAAGGCGCAGCCACACATTTCTAAACCCACAAGCGCGACCACCTCCCAACAGGAAGAACCGCCCACCCCAGCCGAGACCGTCACGTGGCCGGGCGAGCCCTGCGCGCAGGCGCGGGCTCGGAGGGGCGGGGCTCCCGCGGCGCCTGCGCCGTAGCGCGGGCTGCGCGGGCTGGGCGGACAGGCGCGCGCCGCGGGGGCGAGGCCGCGCGGAGGCCGGAAGGAAGCGAGGGAGGGCGGGGCGAGCAAGGGAAGCCCGCCGGCCGCTGGACGACCGGCGCGGTATGATGACGTCGCACAATGGCCGGCGCCCGCGGGTAGTGTAGCCCGTTTGTTCCGCCCGCGTCGCGCCTGAAGCCGGAGCTTGAGAGGGCCGGAAGGGCCGAGGGACGTCTCCTCCGCGCCGCCCCGACTCCAGCGGAGCCGTGGCCGCCTCCCCGCCTCGCGCTGAGGTGAGCGGGGCGGCGGACGGCCGGGCGGGCGCGGCGGGCGGTGGAGGCCGGCACCTTCGCGGACCAGACTGCAAAAAGACTAAACATTGACGCCCACAAGGTCCCACCAGAGCCACAAGACATGGACACTAAAGACACTGATGCAAAATAACTCGGGGGTGGTAGATGAAATGCTCACAGAGATCCTGTTTTATCTGGAATCAAATGATAATTCTTGGGAACTTACCAAAATCTCTGGCATGCCTGAGAAGCTGTAGTAAGAGGGGAATTTATATCCTTTCAAACACACATGAAGAAAATGGAAGGAACACAAATTATCAGCCTAAAAA